TTCCGACCCATAGCGACCCTGTACAGGGTTTCCGAGGGTGTAAATCCTTACGGGAGTAGAAAGCCTCATCTTTCTCCCGCGGAGCGGCTGGTATAAGGTATTACGAGGCTGTAAATAATTTTGGGAGCAGACAGCCTTTTTTTTCTCCCAATGAGTGACTGGAGACCTCGAACTATTGATTTAGAAGGTGTTCAAATGTCACTTTATAAATGAAGATACTCTATCTACTTTAAAAAATTACACCCCTGCCCTTCCAGCATTCCCAAACCTTCTTGTACTCTGTTCTTCATTTTCAAAGCACTGAATACCTTATATTAATACATTATGATAACCATATAATTATTAACACCCTATATTAACAATATATTAATGTATTACATTAATAATATAATGACTAATGGCTTATATTAACAATATAATTACTAACAGCTTATGTTAATCATATAATTATTAATACCTTACATTAACAATATAATTAACAGCTCTGGTAGCATAGTGGTTACGAGTCGGGCTGCCAACCTCAAGGTCAGCAGTTTGAAACTACCAGCTTGTTCCATGGGAGAAAGATGAGGCTTTCTGCTCCCATAAAGATTTATAGCCTTGGAAACCCTGCACAGGGTCGCTATGAGTCAGAACCGACTCCACGGCACATAGCAACAACTAATAATATAGCTATGAATACCTTATATTAATAATATAATTATTAATACCTTATTGGAAACCCTGAGCAGGGTCACTATGAGTCGGAACCGACTCCACGGTACTTAACAACAACAATATAGTAATAATATAATTATTAACACCTTATATTAGTAATATAACTATTAACATCTTATAGTAACAATATAATTACCAACACCTTATATCAATAATATAATTATTAACATCTGATTAATAGTATAATTATTAACACCTTATATTAACAATATAATTGTTAATACCGTATATTAAGTGCTATGAAAATAAAGAACAGAGTACAAGATGGTTTGGGAGAGCTGGAAGGGCAGGGGTGTGATTTTTAAAAATAGGTAGAGTATCTTCCTTTAGAAAGTGATATTTGAACACCTTCTAAATTGACGGTTCAAGTCCTCCAGTCACTCAGTGGGAGAAAGATTAGGCTGTTTGCTCCCGAAATGATTTACAGCCTCAGAAACTTTATATAGGGTTGCTACAAATTGGAATCGATTTGAGAGCACTAAAAAACAATATTTCAACAAAGATTTATGCGAACAAAAGAATTTCCCATGTTGTTAGTTCTCTGGCTAAGAGTGTTCCAGAGAAATTAGACACAACGACTGGAACAGAGAAGAAGGCTGTAGAAATAAAATCAAATGCAGGAGGTGGTAGTGGTGGTGGTGGTGGCTGTGTGCATTGGAGTTGGTCCCAAATCACAGTAACCCTGTATAGGGCTTCCAAGGCTATAAATCTTTATGTGTAGAAAGCCTCATCTTTCTCCTGTGGAGTGGCTGATAGACTTGAACTGTTGACCTTCCAGTTAGCAGCCTAACTTGTAACCTACTACACTGTTGTTATTGTTGTTATTAGGTACTGTTGAGTCCTCTCAGATTCATAGCACCTTAAGAATCACAAAAAGGAAACACTGTCCGGTCCTGTGTCATCCTAGCAACAATTGTTAAGCTTGAGCCCATTGCTGCCGCCACCGTGCCAATCCATCTCACTGGGGACCTAAGTCTTTTTTTGGCTTACCCTCCACTTTAACTAGCATGATGTCCTACTCAAAGGACTGGTGCCTCCTGATATGTCCAAAGTATGGGAGACAAAGTCTTGCCATCCTGTCTTCTAAGGAGCATTCTGGCCATGCCTTTTCCAGTACAGATTTGTTTGTTCTTTTAGTGGTCCATGGTACTTTAAATATTCTTCTCTAACACCATAACTCAAATGCATCAATTCTTCTGTGGTCTTCCTTATTCACTGTACAACGTT